TACTTTCAGACCTCGAGGTCGTGGTTTGAACACGAAGACCACCTAGTCGAACCTGTTCTGGACAAGCCACTCATTACAACACTAGTGGATGTAGCAATTCACAGTTCGTATGGGGCTGGCCAATAGGATAACTTCACATTATTTAGTCATATTACACTACACCAAACAGTGCAAATATACATGAAATCCACTTAGAAATAACCTCTCAACTTACGATAATTCCTGTTCAAATATATATATGGTCAGACAAATCCACATGATTACTTCTATTCCCACAGAAGTTTCTGTTAGCATTTACAGGTGATTTCGAAGTACTGATAGAATTCCTTTGTCAAAAAGGACTGTTCTTCACACGAAAATAGGCTGAATTAATATCCTGAGACGTGAAGTCTCCATTGGATGATACCATGACGAAAGGTGCAGCATCTAAATAAAGTAGACTATTTGTGTAGATGAAATTACCCTTCAACTATCCTATCTTTCTCACTATAGCGATATTTTGCTACAGTTCGCCTGAAACACTGATCGTTGCAACCAATATGCTAGGGGGTGTCGCAGTCAGATTACATGACGCGGACACCAAAATAACAGGCCAGAAAATGGGAATTCTCATCAATCCAGATAACATATAACACAAATTCATTAAAAACTATTGACAAAAAAATTTTCAAGTGAAATTTTAACAGCGGTACTAGAACGTGGCATTTAACGTCTACCGTCATTTCGCCTTGTCAAAGTTGCAGTAAGTTTACAAACTGGGAGGGTTGCAATTTTAGGCGGTTCTCACACCCACAAGGGAAAGGGCAACCACGCCTATGCTGGCGGCAGTATGAAGAGACAGTCTGTCGCATTAAAGTTTAGTGAAAGTCTCCGAACCTGGCTGAAACACCCTGCTCCTAAAGTATAACTCCATTATGGACAAGATTTTATTTTGATATATCACAGCGTGTTATACAGTAATATTTACTGATGACCACCTTTCTAGCACAAATTATTACTGCTCATAATCATATCAAGGCACTCAGATAACTTTCTTTTTTCATTTATATACATGAGTAAAATTGATTAGACATTTGAATAAAATCAATATAAGATAAACCACATTCAGAAATAATATTGGTTTCATCAATAAAATACAATCAGATGGGAAATAAGATAATTTTATGGTAAAAATGAGTAGCTTGTCATAATTTTATGATGTCAGTTGAATACATTTTAACGTCATTTATCCAATTTGTCTTATAACATTCGAAGAAGTTACTTATTTTTTCACCATAAAATTATCTAATTTCACATCTGATTGTATTTTATTGATAAAACCAATATTATTTCCGAATGAATTTGAAATGGCTGTGGACCTTATCTGTCCTCTTTTCCTACGTTCAGACAGACTGAAGCATTGCAGAGCACATAGAAGAAGTGTTTAAAAGCCGAGGACGATCTGCATCTCCTCTGAGTACTTGTTCTCCCACCGAGTCAAAAAAAGAACAGACTGCCAGAAGCATGGTGTCTGCAACCTTAGTTGACTCGTTCAAGAAGCGCTTGAACGAGCAAAGTTACTTACTGGAAAAGTATATAGACAGACTTAAGGCCTTCTATCTTCAATCGAAGGTCTGAAATCTGAGTTCATCAAATTTTCAAATATTGCCAACCTTCATCTACAGAAATTTCAGCAGACAGGTGGCGGAAATGTTTAAGCAGCCCACATCACGTCAATCACCCCCCCAATACGGGGACGTGTTGAGACTGACTACCAGTTGCCTGTACAGTAATGTGAGAGGTCTAAGAGGCAAAATAGCTGAACTTAGATACCTACAATCACAGCTGAACTCCAAAATCATAATACTGACGGAAACCTGGCTAACCCCTACGGTGGCAGACAGCGAAGTCAGTATAAATGATATGGTCCTTGTCAGGCGAGATAGGGATCTGAAAGAAGGAGGTGGAGTCGCCATATACGTCGACAAACAGCTCAGATGTGTCCATGCAATCGACCCTCCCCTCATTGAGCTCCCTGACTCCATATGGTGCCATTTCACCGTTGGGTACTGTAAGTATCTAGTGGGCAGCATTTACAGATCACCTTCATGTGGAGCAGACCACAACCAGGTACTGCTGAATGCAATTTCAGCGACACATGACATGGGTTATGATCAAATTGTCATAGCTGGAGACTTCAATGCCCCATCTCTTAACTTGATGACGGGATGTGCCCAGGACAGATTTGATCGAAATCTGCTGCATACCATCACGGAGGCCGGATTCACCAAAAATGTCAGAATGGATACTAGATGGGGCCCAGATGGGAAGTCTTCCAGACTGGATTATGTGCTCACTAGTGACCAGCTACTAGTGCAAAACGTTCAGATCACGACTCCCATAGGTAGTAGTGACCACGCGGTCATAACATTCGACATAGTCCTCCGCGAGCGTTTACAGTGGGACAATACACAGCCCTATCTGTGTTATAACAAAGCCAATTACACCGAAATGCGAAGACTTTTGTCTGAAGCAAATTGGCCGAAAAATTGGACAGAGCTTACAGTAGAAGAACACTGGAGAGTGGTAAATGAGATCATTCACCAGGCGATCTCAGACACTGTTCCTTTGGTCACACCTAAAGCTAGAAAGCAACGTTCATGGCTAAAAAGGGGGACACAACGCCTTCTACAGGCGAAGCGAAAAGCCTGGTTTGCGTGGCGAGTATCGAAGTGTCAACCCGAACATGAAGTGTACCTTGAACTCAGGAATCGGTGTAACATACGAGTCCGGAGTGATAGAAGGACATTTCAGAGAAACCTCGCCAATAAGCTTCTCGTGAACCCCAAAAGCCTATACAGGTTTATGTCTGAAAGAAAACCGACCAGCTAGGGAGCTTGCAATCTAGTGGGTTCTGATGGGAAATCTCTTACTAGTCTTGAAATGGCAGAGACATTCAGTCTAGCCTCTCACAGGCAACTGAACAGTAACGAGGATTTTACCCCCACAAAACATCAAGATTACAATGCAAGACCAACGTGCGAAAACCTGCTGGGTACATTTCAAATTACCCCGGCTATGGTACTCGTAAAATTGGGAAAGTTGGCTTCGGGAAAGTCTGCAGGTTGCGATGACATAAGACCATCCGTCCTGAAGCAGTGTTCAGAAAGTCTCTGCCAACCCCTAAGTGATCTGTTTCAACACTCCTTTGATGTAGGGAAACTTCCATGTGAGTGGAAACGAGCCATCCTACCCGCTATCTTCAAGGGTGGTGACCGGCAGAACGCGACCAGTTACAGACCAGTTGCGCTACTCCCAGTGATATCGAAGATATTGGAAAGTCTCATTGACGACCACATGAGAAAATGCTTCGACGGGACTAACCTACTCCATGAAGCACAGCACGGTTTCAGGAGGGGAAGATCCTGTGTGACGAATCTTCTACTAGCTTGGAACGATTGGACACTATCCTGGGATGTAAAAGTACCAGTCCATGTGATCTTTCTCGACTTTGCGAAAGCATTCGACACAGTTCACCATGGTCTGCTCCTTCACAAAATAAGCAAAGCGGGTGTTTCTGGAGCACTTCTCGCATGGCTGGAAGATTACTTAGGCGAGAGAGAATTCTGCACCAAAGTCAACCGCATCCGATCATCCTGGCACACCTCGGCATCAGGGGTTCCTCAGGGTTCTATCTTAGGGCCGTTGATGTTTTTGATTTTTATCAACGACCTGCCCTGTCAACTGAATTGCTCTGCGCTTCTCTACGCTGACGACGTAAAGATTTGGAGAGCAATAAACTCATCGGAAGACTCCGACAGATTGCAGGCTGACCTGCAAACTCTGGGAGACTGGGCTCTGACTAACGGAATGCCTTTCAACTTAAAGAAGTGCAAAGTAGTGCAACTTGATTCCGGCAGGTCACAGAGTGCAAATTACACCCTTGGTGGCCAGGACTTGAGTTGTGTGCCATCAGAACGCGATCTAGGCCTTATTTTAACAGAAAAGCTAGACACCAGTGGAAATTACACGAGGGACGTCTCCAAAGCTTACGCCACTTTACACTTTATGCATAGGCAGCTGGGAGCTCTTGCTCCTGAACTATTCCTAACGTTGTATACGACATACGTGGGGCCACTCCTTGAGGTGCATAATATCATTGCTCCTCCGCTACTCAAAAGGGATGCTAACATGCTAGAAAGTGTCCAGAGACGAACGACAAAATGGGTGATCGGCCTCCGCAACAAATCATATGAGGAGAGACTGAAGAAATTAATTCTTTTCACACTTAGTTACCGTAGTCACAGGGGAGAGCTCATCACCGTCTATAAGATCTTAAATGACCAGGCCCATCCTAATAAGAGCATCCTGCCATTAAGTGATTATAGGCTTCCACGAGGTGACCCGCTAAGGATAGCACACCAGAGACCAAGGACTCGAGTGCGTTCACATTTCTTCTCGCTTCGAGTTTTCCGTCTCTGGAACGCTTTACCGGCGGCCGTAACTACAGCTCCATCTGTGGAGACTTTTAAGCGGAAGCTAGACAATCATGCAGAAATGCATGGTTTGTGTTTCAATGACTTACCCTCTTAAAATTTGAAACCACATTGTCAATGGATAAGCATACAAGCTAAATCTCCACGACCCGTCCTGTCTTCTCTCACTGTACCGACTACTCTATTCTTAACCTTAGGTCACCTTTATTACTTCACTTATCTCAACCTATATTATCTACACTACAACCTATTATTATTATTATTACTATTCTACTTTTATGACTATACCGAATGACCAACGGGTGTTAGGTCAAACTCCATTCACCGCAGCAGCTGAGTCCTAACATACTGCACAATACAAACCACAATCTTGACCAATCCTCGCACCACTCCTCTTGGAGTCTACCAGAGCTTAAGCAGTCGAGTGGCGGGATTTACTACGCATAAGTTCACCGAAGATCTGGAACCTCTACCTTACAATCAAGAAGCGAGCTCAAAGAAACCACTGGTTTATACTAGCTCGTAGTCAGGATATTGGATATTGGATATTGGAAGTTCATGGTCACTTCAAAACCAGGGTGAAACAGCAAACAAACCCCGGTTTGGTTTAAGATACATTGGATATTGGATGTAGGTGCGTTAAAAATGAAGTAGTCGCTACCCTCACGGTATTTTTGTTCCATTTTGGTATGTTTCGATTAACAGCCCTAGCTTTCTATAATACTGAATTGAATCTCGCTAATTCTGAGATAACTTTAGCATTCTATAGTGAGTAAATTCTCAATCTGTTCTGAAATGGTTTGATTATGTGGATAGACTAGAGCTTAGTGCTGTTTTTAAGTATGACGCACTAATTCAGCACCCTGTGCTTTTTCTAGGCATTCTCAGGAGTAGATCAGAACCTACTAGGTTTGCTTATCAACGCTGTTCCAGCCCTCACAAGACATGTTAGACACTGACTAGCATCGCTTCAGAATGAAAAGATTTAATTCAGCATATAATACGTGCCACTATAGTGGCAATTTTTTCAGCTTAATTTCAGCCCAACTACTACTACTAACACCTTAGTTTGTCCTTTTCATTCGACTGACATCTATGTAAGATATTTGTCGACCATATTCTAAATCCTAAACAGAGATTTGGAGTTGTCATTCATGAAATTCTATGATTTGACCTCGTCATGAGTTTTGACAAACCGATAAGCTACTGGTACAATGAAAATGTTCCATGTTTGTTGACTGGCATTGTGTTTCCAAGATGTGTGTGCATTATAAAATTATTCTACCACTCTGCTTCATGTGCATCTATTTTGGTAATTTGTGTTCACGTAAATAAGTGTGACTAGACATGACGCTGTTTCGACTGAGTGATTTTGTTATGTAGTGATTTAGATGAGGGAGTTAATAATATAAAAGAATATCATATCCAACTAATCTTTCGTATGAGTTTGTGGTGGGATAACTGATGCATTTTCATTCTGGAGTGCATGCATAAACAGTTCTCTCTCTTACTGTTCAGTGACATGAGGCAGAATTCCGGTTATACTGGAAAAATGGAAATAATCATGACGCGTTTATTTTGAGGCGTTTTGTCTATTACCTCATTAAACTAAAGTTTTTATTGTTCGTTCACAAAGTGGTGTATTTCCTTTTCTTGGGGACCTTTCACGAATTACGCAACTAAGTTGCTTGTATTTATATTTATTTGAATAAATGCTTCATTTCTGATTTAGGAAATTGATGTTTTGGTCTTCGGAGTAGGTTCTAAAGTTAATGGTTTATACTTTGACCCTGTACACAATGGTGAACTTAGGTGTATCTGGGCATACTGTGAAGGGAGTGAACTTGGAGATATTAACACTACAATTAATAAAATTCAAGGTGAACCTAACATAAATAAATACCAGTACCCTCGAAGTTACAGTCCAGCATGTAACCAGACCTTTGGAAACTTAACGCTAAGCTATGATTGGTGGTTAAGTTCTATTCAAAATGTCTTATGATATATATATATATATATATATATATATATACCATACTGAAAATGATTAACGTGGAAACTCTATGTGACGCTTCTATGTTCACAATGCTTGAAGTATATTAAGCATTAAAGAACTGGCTTCCGAAAGTAGGTAAGCTATACAAAGTAGCGTAAACCGCTAGACGTCAGCAACTAAACAAAAATGGACGTAGTAGTAATACGTAGTGCAATCCAGATACATATTAAACAACAATATATTGGAAAGCTAGGATGCTTTAGTTTTGATTGCTAACGAGTAGGTTGAACATGGGTGTCTTAATATTCAATGCGGTATTACACTTTTAGTTGTTTGAAAATAAACCCAGGATAAAGTATGCGTTTTAGAAAATCTTCAGAGCGTTTAACTGTTGTCTAATCCAACAGATTCATAATTTTTGGTGATCAGAGATGGACGTTCATATTATTAGTTAATTACACATGTTTTCACTATTAACGACTGATAAAGGTCCTTCAACTTCATGAAAGTTGGGAGTGGATTTTCATAAATCCAGTTTAAGCCCTGTTTATTTGTTTCTACCTTTTTGATTTAATGTAAATGCCTTCACCATGTGTAGTTAGTGATCAAAAATTTCACAGTATTAATAATAATTGTCTGTCATTACGAGGATATTTCAAGGAAATAGTGGAATTTTGTTCACTGGTGATCATAAACTGTCAGTTGGAAGTATGATGTTCTATTAGAAGTATTTGAGTAGCATGTCTTTTTGAAATAATTACAAAAGGACAGATTATTGTTCTTTAATCACCAAGTCTAAGAAATATCTGTTCAAGATTACTCTCACACTTGATATATTTCACGATAATTTCATCCATTTTTGTAGCTTATGCAAATTAACGACGCGAATTCAAAGAACTAAGCACGAAACACACTTCTAAGATCCAGTTATTTTTAAGCTACATTTTAAGCCGTGAGAAGAGATTATGTCTTTAATAATAGAACAAGATTGTTCACAATAATCCAAGTGTATTTGCTCTCTGTCATCCAGGTTACGAACATCATTTATTTGTTCTATGTCGTTTCATATGTTTTTCCGTTTTAGCTTCATAACATTTATGTCCAACTAGTTTTTGTACATATGCATCCCGAAAATGTGGTGTCTCCAATCTTATATTAAGTCCTGAGGTTAGTAGCTTGATTTCAAGAGACTAAGTATGGTGTTCTTCCGCCTAAAGCAATCGTCAGAAAGTTAAGAGATGTTGAGAAAACTGCCTTTGAAGTGGTATTCGAAATAAGGGGAAAGCAAGTGGTGGCCAGTTTCTACTTCTCTACTACGCACAACGTAAGATTTAGTTTCTTAGTGCAGTACCTGAAAGAAAGAGAGCATTAGTGTTACTTAACCAGAAAGCCCAGATAACAACTTGAATCTGCTCACAGATGAACGTTTAGGAGGTTGGGTTTTCGGAGTTTTGTATGTACGGAGGACTACCACCGTGGAATGCCTGGGTGCACAGCTCTTGGGGTTGACTTTGTATTACCTCTCCTACCTTGAGAGGAAAGGCAACATAGCTAGCTTGCTAGTCACGCGAGGGAAACACTTTACTGCTGTTACACCCGTATCCGCGAACACTATACTTCGTCATCAGTTCCCCATGATAGAGTAGGCTACATTCCCTAAGTTGTTGGTGGTTCACTGGTAGAGTGCTCGCCAGCTACGCACGTGATCCGTATTGAGTTCCCGGTCGACACATCACTAAACCTTACTTAACTGGTGGTAAGCCCAGTAAAGAGGTAGGTTTGGATGTGAGATTAGCGACTCACCCCGTAAAAACACCGCTACTGAAACTTCAATGTTCAAGTTTGAAGCTCTGTATTCCACTCGAACGCTAAGAAATGAAAAATACTTGTCCTATGGTGTCTTTGTTTTAACCTCTATCAGCCCTACTCTTCTAGTATCTTAGGTCCTGCAGGGGTATTTTTGCCAGCCAGTATAGCTTATTAGATGACTAAGATATTCAAGTCTGATTACCACAGCAGCGGCTATCGATCAGTACTTGTTACTAATACTTTATTCACCCTTCAGATTGTTTTTTTGTCTTATTTAAAAATTCATATAATAATCAATACCAAACAAAGATTATTCTTTTCAATAATTTTCTCATCAGGTTCTACAGTTACATATCCATATTGAGTATATATTACGTTTGTGTGTGTCACTTGCATATTTTCGTAGTAGTAGACCATTAAATCATCATCATAATAATAATAACTGATCGATTATTATGTTTTGATCGAACGATTTGTTGTTACGAAAAACATTTGTAATTGATATACATATACCTAATGTTTGCCTAATATGAATCACATAACTGAAGAGGAAGTTCTTAAAAGAGTATTTTTTGTCCAATAATCTTCATTTGCCTGTTACACATCTGTTTTCCTGTTGAGTGCATTACTCAGTAAAAAAGTAAAATCATTTTTAGTGTGGCCATTTTTAATCACACTTTTGGAAACTTAAGATTATAAATAATCTTTTATATGCATTTCAGGGAATTAGTTTAAAAGATTTGAACGCTTGTTTCAGTTCAGCTGTGTTCCACCTTTAATTTATTTAATTCATTATTTGGAAAACACAAAAGATTGAGCGAAGAAATATTTACTTTTCAATTAGATCCTCTTCTCTGGCTCTACTCTAATATACATAGCATTTTTACAATACACAACAATTTACCAAACAAGTGGTGATATGTTTGTGAACAATATTTAAACAGTGTCAGAATGTCAATGGGTAGATAATTAACGCAGAAAATCAATACACATTTAAAAAGTAGAAATGGATAGAATAAATTAATTTTACAAGAATAACACGTAATTAAAGATGAAGTGGTCAAAATAAAAATAAAATAATTTGGACAATTATAATTTAATAGGGGGAGGGGGGCGACGTATACCTGTTTTGTAAGGATGGCCACGGTAAGCAAAGTGGCTGTACAAATTTCTTCTGTACACACAGGCTTGGCTTCTTAAGGTGGATTCCGATTGCTTCTGCTGTCTGTAGAAGACGAACTCTTAGAGCAAAGTTGAGATTAGTCGGAATGCGATAAATAATTTTGAATGCAGTATTCACATCAACCTTGTGCTCAGTATCAACAAGGTGTGCTAAAATAGAACTTCGAATAGATTTTGTTTGTCCCTTGCTTAACCACGCTGGATGATGTTCAGAAATTCTAAGCAAATTCTGTATTGTTCTGTATTTGAATGCATTAAAAGGGTACACACGATAATTGTATTATTTTGTACTCTTCAGTAGTGTGAAAGTATCCTCTTTCTAACAACAGACCTAGAAATACTTATTAAGTTGTACAATCGTATATATGAGTGATTTTTAAGAAACTATATCCTTTGAAGTAATTTATGCAGAAATGTAAATTCATTATAATAAAGGTTTTGTTGTATTTCCCAATGAATGAAAAACAAAACGATATTGTTTTACTGACGTTTCGCTATTTAATGCTAATAGCTTTATCAAAGTATTATTAAGCCAGAATTTACAAAATCTCAGCTTATCTATAACAACTTAATCATCGTTCCTCAGTATGGGGTCATTTTTCCATTTTGGGTAAATTTTGTTTTGATAAAGTCTCACAGCGTTATACAGTAATGTTAACTGATGACGTTTCGAGCACAATTTGTTGCTCATAATCATATCACAATAAATTGTGCTCGAAACGTCATCAGTAAACATTACTGTATAACACTGTGAGACTTTATCAAAACAAAATTTACCCAT